TCTAGAGGATCTTCAAGGGCAAGACCATGATACTTGTTGCTTTAGATCATGTTGATAAGGCTGGACTTGATCTCAAAGGTGATGTTCTGAACATCTGGAGCTCGGATACCAGCTCTATGCCAATGAATGTTTGGTTGATCATAGGCGCCAATGGCTCTAGTTTGGGGTGGGTTGGGTTGTGGTCTAAGGTTGTCAGCTCCTTGACCAATGCCTCCTTGAAGGAGAACAGCCTCCTTTTGAGGTAAGTGGCTGTTTCTCTCCATCTCTAGCCCCAAATCTTCTAGTTGGGTTAGCCTCTCTTCTTCTTTTCTTCTTCTTATCAACTCTCTCTCAAGAGCTTGGATGTCTTGAGCTGCAGGTAAGAGGTTTGCAGCTCCTCTACTTCTCAGGTTCATACACCTGCAACTAATGCAAGGGATACAAAGAAGAAGAAATCAGTAACGAAAGCAAGTAAATAAGATTTAGTCTCAAGCAATGACTAAATCCCATTGTCAATAAACAACTCAGAAATGGCAACGGCGCCAAATTTGATAAGGATTTTTAAGCTTTAGAGCAAATCAATGTAGTAAAGTAAGTAGAATGTCAATCCAATCCTGAGAGCTATTGAACAAAGAGAATGCAAGACATTGCCAAATCTAAATACAATCAATGAGGGTTTGTTTTATAAGTAACTAGTAACTAGCAATGTAAGTAAACAAGAGTAACTAAAGCTTTGTTTCAAGGAGATATGAGAACCTATGGGTAAAGGTATTGACTTTGGGTGATCAAGTTACTATCTAGGGTGAGGTTTCAAGCAATCTTTCATATCCTATAGGTCTAGACACAACCCTAAGCTAGTCCTTGGTCAAGGTAAAAGCTCATTTGCTATCAATCTCTAAACACAAATGGTCATTGGTCTAAATCAATCAAGCAATCATTGAGAACAAGTCCACTAACCATCTAAGCCTTCCTAACATGAAGTGTCCTTGGCTAAGCAAGCAAAAAGCATTATTACTTTGGCTCAAGCATTTCATCATATACCTTGTGGGCAGGAAATGCCTAATGATATAGTTTAGAAGGATTAGGTCTAATCTATAATTGAGAATAAGTAATAAGCAAAGGACAAGAAGGATCTAACACCAATCACCCTAGATCATCACTTAATCATCCTAATCACCCTAACCCATAAGCTCAAGGAGAGTCTACTCACTAATCTTCATGTTTAATCTTAAACCCATGATGGATAGAAGACTAATCATGATTAGAAGAAGAGATAGACTCAAATTATTCAAGAAAGAAAGATTATATTAATCAAGGATTCAACTTTCCAATGTGTTTTCGAGAGAAAAGAAGATAAGTTCTAAACTTAGGTCTTTAATGTGTTTATAGAAGCCTAAAAACGAGCGTAAAAGTTGGGTCTTTTCGTCTGTAACGACATGCTCGTAGCGACATGCTCTGGTCGCTACAGCACATAGAATTTTCTAGGGATTTTCTCGTAGCGACATGCTCTGGTCGCTACAGACTCTCCGCTCTCTTCCTAGCGACATGCTCTGGTCGCTACAGTTCTGGTCGCTACAGGGTTGATATGCCTCTAGTAGATAGATCATAACTTCTTCAATATAGCTCCAAATGATTTGAAACCACTTCCATTAGAAAGATAACTCAGTTTTCCATGTCTTCTCAAAATATGAGCTCCAAAAGATATCTTTAAGATCTACATCCATGTTAATCTTTAACCCTTTTTTGGATCACAATGCTCCCAAACACCTCCATTCACTTCATGGCACACTCCAATACCTAATAAGGACATATGAATGCAATATGGACCTAAAGATGTCTAAACCTTAATCTATATGATGATTTATATACAAAATGAAATGCTAAAACTATGCAAATATGTCTCATATCATGTGGCTAGGTCATTCTTCTCACTATCATCTGAATCATTCTCCACCAGATCTCATACCTTGTTTATCTTCAACACCAATCTGATCCTTATCGTCCACACCGCATAGTTTGTTTCCATAAGGATAAGACAACTTATCTTTGAAGATCCTCCTCCTTCCTTTGTTTTTGACACAACAATATCTCCCGTGTTTGTTGTATCGTCTGTTCGTCCCTAGAAACTCTGATACCAAATATAGTTTCACAAACTGATCGTAGAATAGGTTTAATAAGAACTTGCTCTCTTATTAATCTCTTGAAAAAATCATACAAAATTCATAAACTTTAATATAATCTCCAAAACTCTCAAAGGTTGCGACAAGTCTACAATTTATTATATAGGGTTATAATTTTTTTTTTCTAATAGACTTAACATTATTAAGATATTTCCTAATCTCTATAAATAACCAAAACAAGATGAGATTAGGATTACTTGCTCCTCACATTATTTCTAGGTTACTTCTAACGGTCTATGCACTTAGGGGACTACACAAACTTTGATTGTTATTGACAACCACTAAAAAGACTTGCCACTTTGGTGTCAACGGCCAACCATTGGTTTCACGTTTCAATTTGTTTTACCTCTGTTTTTCCATCAACTATACATTACAAAGAAAATACGGTTTTCTTTGTTTCGTATTTTCCTTGTTAGCTTATAATTTTGGAAATGACGTCTGAAATTAAACGCTTACGAAAAGAAAACAATTACGTCGTCTTCACAGTCGTTTACATGGTCGTCTTCAGAGCGTTTACATTTAGGCGAAAAACAAGAAAGAATAAGTCAAAACACCCGTCCAATCAAATACAGTACCAGTAGTATTTGTCACACAAATATATTGAAAACGCGAGCAAGAGAATAGGACTCCTAGGCTAGCTAATTGTACACGTTTAAATTAACAGGGAATACTATCGAGTCTTCATCACATTTCACTGTTTACCAAAATACGGCTATTCATGTTTTTATTTTTGCTATATTCCTAATTTTTTGTTAAATTTAGCCAAAAAGCGTAACTAGTATGGCAGTAAATATTAAGTTTTCTGTAACGATCCAAGTTCTGAGGCCCAACATGATTCTGGTCCCATCGCAGAAAATCCTAGGTCAGATCCTATTTAAACACCCATAACCTCTTTATTTTATTCACAAAAGTCTTAAGCATCGAATCTATGAAGAAACCGAGCCGCCGTCTAGAGTTGAGATCGTCCAGCCGTCGTCATTGTTGAGATCACCTTGTGAACCACCGTTATCCACCTCAGGTAACACCGGAAACCGCATTGACCTTGGTTTAAGTTTAGATCGTTTCTTAAATCGATCATAATTTTTTATCCGTGTGGTTTTTCGCAAATCTAGGACCATCAGTGTGTTCCTCTTGCCGAGACGATCCCGGGGGACCAAGCCCAGCCGCAGAGCCACCGCGACGCGCCCTCACGCGCAGGGAGACGTTTGGCAGGTGTATCTCAGGCGCCGTCGCAGTCAGCCGCCGCCGCCGCGCGTGACGCCCACGCGCCGTCGTCTTCCACCGCCGTTTGCTGGAGCCGCCGTCTCCGACCACCGTCCGTCCACAGCTGGGAATCCGCCGCCAGCGGTGACTTTTCCGGTAAGTCGCCACCGCCGCCGGCGACCGATCACCGGTGATTCGCCGGTCGACTCGCCGGATCGCCGGTAACTCGGTGACTCGGCCGAGATGACTCAGCGAGTCAACTCGTTGACTGGTCCAACCGGTTGGTTTGTTGATTCGATTCGATTTGGTTTTGGTTAGGTTAACCGGTCGGTTTAATTGAATTGATTTTGGTTTGGAATTTAAATCGGATTGAAATTGATTTGATTCTGGTCCAATTGAAATCGAATTCGGTTAAGGAGAACCGGCGGTTCAATTTGATTTCAATCTGGTCAAGGGTTGACCGGCTTGGGTCAGAGTTGACCGGATTGACCTTTGACCAGGGAGTTGACTTTTTGACCAAATCACCGGTTATCCGTTTTTAACCGTCCGAAGGGCGTTCTGACTCGATTTTTCGCCCTGATTTCAGATTTAGAGTCTGTTTGAGCACCATGAGTTTACAGCTACCACTTTCAGATTTTGCTAAGGTGAGGGTCTAATCCGTAACTCCCGTACCAGTATAGTATTCTTCCTATCGTAGTTTAGATTTCAAAGCATGATCCGTCTGTGTGAATTGAGTCTGTTTGAGTCTTGATTGCTAGTTAGTTCATTCATTGTAAATTGGAACTAGGGGTCTAGAGGATTCAACCGTTGATTGGATTGTGTGATGTTGAGAGATGATATATATATATATGTACATACATAGTTATGAGTAGAGACTATGTGGGAGGGCGGGGGTTCAGGGATGCCTGAACTATCGATGCAACTTTGGAGGGTGGGGGCTCAGAGACGTCTGGGCTAGCGACGCAACTGTGAGTGCAGAGACGTTTGCATTCGACGCAGATTTGGAGGGCGGGGGTACAGTGACATACTGTACTAGCGACGCAGCATATGATGTATATCCATATATGGAGATGCGGGGTGTGTGGTCTATCTATGCATTATCAGTGCATTGTTTGTTCTATGTGATGCCTTAGGTGTCTTGATTATTCATGTTAGAGCTAAACTTCCATAGTGGGAGTTCTATTTACTCAAGTCAATGTTTTGCGTGGTTAGCATCCCATACCTCACTGAGTGACTCCCCTATTACTCACCCCTCTTTCTTCTCCTATTTCAGGTAATACTGACGATCAAGAGTGATCATTTCGGACTGGTGCTTTTGAGAGTTTTATTTATTTATTTTCAGACTTATTTCTATCGTTATTTTGAGATTTATTAAGTTATTTAGATTTCTGGAGTTTAGAGATGATTTATGCGATTTAATAAATGGAGATTTCAGACATTTTTATTTATTTTATTATTTTGAAAAATGCGGGTTTTACATTTTCCTTGTCTGGATATTCTATGGCTGTGTAGCTAAAGAATCAACAGCATATATTACCTTCGGACTTTTCCCTCACGATCGAGAACAAAGATCCCTTTCTTTAGATAATTATACAAAACAAAACCTAAAAAAAATATAATATGATATACATACTATAACTACACCTCCTTTAACATATGAGAGGGGACAACATCTTGAAGAAGTCCATTATCTTTAACCAAACTTGGACTCTTCTTCACACATTCCTCATCACCACATCCATTTGCATGGCTATTAAGGTACTCGCCAACTCCTCCGAGACAAGACAAGAGCTCTTGTTGTTGGTGGTAATGGGCAAGCTGTTGGAATTGAGGAGATACTAGTGTTGACCTGGTCTCCATTGGAAACCCAAAGCTACCACCAAGATTTGAAGCAAATCCTGATGATCCAAGAATGCCTCCAGCAGAAATTGGACGTGGAGTGAGTGGACTAACGTGTATGTGTTGACCTTCGTAGGTCGTAACTACAATGCTTGGATCTCTGAACGATCTCTCCACTCTCTTCTTCACGTTACATGAAGCCGTTGTGCAACGGTAGTAACTCCTACAATACGAAACACCATCTTACAAAATTAATTAACCTCATAAACTTTGGGTTAACATTTTTGTGTGTGATTATCAAATAGAATATATACTTAAGAACATATGCAGAAATTAACATTTTTCTTAAAAAGTTGAAAAGGAGAAGCAGAAAGTTTTCATTTAGGTTTCCTGTTTGTTTGTTAATACTTGTGAATGATGTATTCATTATATAAAAAGAGCTTAAAATATATTTTGTCTAACGTTATCGATGAAGTAATTTTAACAAGGAACAATAGATCCATTACTGAAACAATAGATCCTACAAATTAATATCGAGGGAGAAGAACCACCATTGCAAGAAGAAAACACCAATGAAATCGAGGAACCTGAAGCAGAACTTGATGACATCCTACTCATTGATCCGCATAATCGTGAATACGAAGATGTCCCTGATCACTCAACGGACGACGTTGTTGAGGACGAGTTTGCCGAAAATGATGATGTTTCTACGGATTATGAGAATGTATCC